TTTTTCTTCGTTTCAGTCACCTGCTGGAGTTTGGGTTCCACTGTCACCTCTGGCTTGCTTAGCTGGGGTTTAAAAGACACTGAATATTCAAGAATAATATTGATTTGATTGTACTGACACTATTGCATAATGACAAGACTTGAACTGAATTGAGCTGGATTATGATATCACTGTTTTCTCCAGAGCTGCTTTATCGCCAAGACTTTGTTTCATAATGTATTAATTTTGCAACATTTTCACTGATATTGAATTTGATTAAATCAAGCTGATACAAAGTGAATAATGAAACTTTTGTGTGCTATAAAATTCCTTATGGCTGAATTGAACTAATTCATTCTTTACAAAGTTATTGAACTGAATTGTCTTTTTAGAGGTAAAGTTTTTCATTAAATAAAACAATGTTTTTGTACAATTTGTGGTTGCATTTTATTTTTCTTCATGTAATTACCTACTTTTTATAGAGTGTTTCATTATTACTGGCGAAGGAAAGTTTTGATTTTTTTCAAGTTTTGAATGATTTTATGGTTTATTAATATTAATAAAGGGAGACATATTACACTTTTATAGAGCAGTCTAGTCTATATAATGATTGTTGGCTCTATTTTAGGTATTTCCATAGCTAGTTTTGGCCAGATTACCCATTTTAAATAAGGTATAGACCCACTAAATGAGCGGGTCCAGATCGGATCTGGTCCGGATGAGTTACTTAATCAGAGGGTCCTGATCGGATCCGGTTCGGATCCGTTTCTTTATCAACGGGTCCGGATCGGATTCGGGTCGGATGAGCTACTTCATGAACGGGTCCGGATTGGATCCGGGCCAGGTGAACCGATTTATTAGCGGATACGGGTAGGGTCTGGACCGGATCCGGTCCGGATCCGTAATCCTTATCTGTTCCGGATCCGTTGCGCTGTGCAAGTGGACTCCGATACGGACCCGTTTTGCGGATCCGTTCCGGAGCTTGTGGTGACTCCGGGGCGGATCCGCTCCGAAGTCATTTTGTTATCTGGGATGCCAATGAGGAAGTTGGCTGTCCAGTTGGAGCAGCCTGCTACTGCCATGGCTGCTGGTCTGGGACCTTGTGAGAAGAGTTCAGCCACAAAGAACCAATGGATAGGTCCTGGCCCCACTTCGAAGAAGGCAACAAAACCAAAAATGGCCATCATGCTAAGGTAGTTCATTGATGACACAGTCTCCTGTAAACAAAGACAACACAAGTATACATAACCCCAGGTATTTATTCAATACAGTGGATAAATTAACAAAAAATAAAGCATCAACAAGTGTTGACATTTCCCAACAGCACAGCAGTAATGACTTTATGAACTACTTTACTTCCAAGATCGATACTTTTAGAGATAAAATTGTAACCATGCAGCCGTCAGCTACAGTAACACTGCAGTCACCCGGA